TTATTTAGAATTAATCAGTTTCCAGAATTAGCGATTTTCGGCAGATTAAAAACAATTCTCGCTTTCATTGTCGTCTTTCCCTTCTAAAAATGCATTTTGGGAGTTTAATTTGTGATACACATATTTAATTTAACCCAAAGAAAATTAATGCTTATTTAAATGTTTCATAGTTATTTCAGGATATTCAGTCAGAAATGTTAAAATCCGAACCCGATCTTTTAAGCTTACAACAAAGCTATTTCCAAAAAATTCAGCATGCTCACAATATCGATGAATCGGGCTATAGTCCATTAATACATTTTCATTAGGGAACAGCGTTGACTTTTTCTCACACAGCCCCTCCCTTGTTATTTTATATACTGCTTGCAAGTTCAGGAACTATTTCCTTTTACGGAACTTCTTTCTTCCCCTACCGATTCTAAAAATACGCTTGCATTTCTTCTATAGTCTTAAACAATTAACTTATGTATGTTATCGGAATGCGTAGCCGAATGGTTAGCGCACCTGCCTTTCAATCCAAGGGTTTTGAGTTCGAGCCAAGCTGGAGGAGCATTTTTTTTTTTTTTTCATTTTTTGCATTTTTCTTCTTTTTTTTCCAGCTCAGATGACACAGAAACACTTAAAAAGGTGGAAAGGCCTCTAATTGTTCTCTGAACAATTAGTTTACTAGTTATTATTATTTTTCTTCTGCTGATTTTTTGTTTCACAACTTATCGAAGAGACGCGTCTTTCATATTAGTCGAATACTTAAATGATTTTCAGATTTGACCCAATGACTTCGATCGATGACATTTAATGAAGTTATTGCCCTTTTCGCAAAAATAGCTTGTTATCGCTACTCCTCTGAAACCACAAACCGTAGAGATACAGAACCTTCACCAATGCTTTCCACTAATAGAGAGGGCTTTCCAATCTATCATTGCAAAAGGATTCATCGAAGCCATATATGAGTTATTGCCCCTGAAGTTTTTTTGCTGTTGACGTAAACTTGAAAAAAATTTAATGCTGAGACGTAGAGACATGGGACCAACTGAAATGGATTCTTGCATTTTTGTTCTTGATATTTAGGTCAAGGTCAAAGGTCAAGGTCATCCAAAATATGAGAAATACAGAATATATGAAAGGGGGGGGGGTTTAAACCAATATAAATGTATGAAATAAACTATTCCACGCTTTAATTATCTTGTTTTCTTCTTAAAATGCATGTAGAACATTTTATTTATCATAGCTGCATTTAATATAACCCACATGGAAGCTTGTTTCATTCGGAAATCTTCATACTGAACCTGTAACAATCTTAGGATCTGCAGTCAGGTCGCTTTGAGTCCAATCCATGTTTTCCAATATGACGACCTACATACCATTAGCCTCGAGTCCGATTTATATCATCGGCACTTTTCTAAGTAGTTTAACTTAATCAGAACATTTAACACCTCAATTTAAACCTTCGTAAGCATAATGCACAAAAAGAGAAATACGATACGCACAGTAAAACACGTCATACATTGTACTTCCATGGTAACTATGTAAACAAATGCCATCAACACGGAAGCAAAAAAGAAAAAAAGAAGAGAGAGAAAAAAAGAGAGGAGGAGAAAGGAAGAGAGAAGGGGAAAGAGAGAAAAATTGGCCCCTAAATTGCAAAAAAAAAACAAAAAAAAAAAAAACAAACAAAATAAAACCAATCTTTTTTTGGAGCTGCGCGAAGACCTTTTGAACTCTACAGAGAAACGAGCCCAACAATAAATCTATAGTAAAAGATGAATTTTTGAGTTTTATTTATTTTCTTGTATTTTTCTTCTTCTTCTTCTTTCTTTCTTTTGTTCTTTTGAAAGCCAAATGATATGGAAACATGTTTCTCAAAACTATCTTATTCTGATTACTACATTGTACTACATCTTTTTATTCCTAAATAGGTATTTTACTGCATACATCTTCATTGGAATTCGTGGCGTAGTGGTTAGTGCACTTGCCTTTCAAGCTAAGGGTTCTGAGTTTGATCCCTGCTGGAAGAACAATTTTTTTTTTTTTTCATTTTTCTTCTTTTTTACAGCCCAAATTACATGGAAACGCTTAAAAAGGTGGAAAAACCTCTAATTGTTCTGTGAACAATTAGTCTACTAGTTATTATTATTTTTCTTCCGCTGATTTTTTGTTTCGCAACTTATCGAAGAGACGCATCTTTCATATTAGTTGACTATTGAAATGATTTTCAGATTTGACCCAAAGACTTTGATCGATGAGATTTAATGAAGTTATTGCCCTTTTCGCAAGAATAGCTTGTTATCGCTACTCCTCTGAAACCACAAACCATGGAGATACAGAACCTTCACCAATGCTTTCCGCTAATTGAGAGGGCTTTCCAGTTTATCATTGTGAAAGGATTCATCGAAGCCTTATACGAGTTGTTGCCCCTGAAGTTTATTTGCTGTTTACTTAAACTTGAAAAAAATTTAACGCATAGACGTAGAGACATGGGACCAACTGAAATGGATTCTTGCATTTTTGTTCTTGATATTTAGGTCAAGGTCAAAAGTCAAGATCATCCAAAATATGAGAAATACATACTATATGAAAGGGGGGGGGGGGTTAAACCAATATAAATGTATGAAATAAACTATTCCATGCTTTAATGATCTTGTTTTCTTCTTGAAATGCATGTAGAACATTTTATTTATCATAGCTGCATTTAATATAACCCACATGGAAGCTTGTTTCATTCAGGAATCTTCTTACTGAGCCTGCAACAATCTTAGGATCCACAGTCAGGTCGCTTTGAGTCCAATCCATGTTTTCCTATATGACGACCTACATACCATTAGCCTCGAGTCCGATTTATTTCATCGGCAACTTTTCTAAGTAGTTTAACTAAATCAGAACATTTAACACCTCAAATTAAACCTTCAAATGCACAAAAATAGAATTACGATATGCACAGTAAAACACGTCATGCATTGTACATACTTCCATGGTAACTATGTAAACAAATGCCATCAACACGGAAGCAAAAAAGAAAAAAGAAGAGAGAGAAAAAAAAATAATTGTTTTGAAAAAGATTAGCCATAAAATTCAACAAGAGGCCCATGGGCCACAACGCTCAACTGAGTCAATATGGCCCTGCTGTTCTATGTCAGCAGATTTCTTCTCCTATATATTCATATGTAAAGCTTTGATCGCCTGCTCTAGGCATACCCTACCCCCAGGTGACATGTTTTGAATGAAATTGAATCTAAACTTTCTGAGGATGCTTCTATATTCATATAACTTATCATGGTTTTGCGTTCTTGTAAACATAATTTTAAAGATGTCTGACACACTACCCTGAGGGAGAGGGGATGGGGGTCATGATTTGAACAAACTGAAATCTACACTACCTGAGGATGCTTCCATATCAATATGACTAATCATGCCTTTGTTGTTCTTGAGAAGAAGATTTTTAAAGATTTTTCCTATATATTCCTATATAAAACTTTGATCCCCCATTGTGGCCCCACCCTACCCACGGGGGTCATGTTTTGAACAAACTTGAATCTACACTACCTGAGGATGATTCCATATCAATAAGACTAATTGCAGCTTTGTTGTTCTTGAGAAGAAAATTTTTAAAGAATTTTCCTATATATTCCTAATATGTAAAACTTCGATCCCCCATTGTGGCCCCACCCTAAACCCTGGGGTCATGATTTGAACAAATTTGAATCTACACTACCTGAGGATGATTCCATATCAAAATGACTAATTGTTGCTTTGTTGTTCTTGAGAAGAAGATTTTTAAAGAATTTTCCTATACATTCCTATCTAAAACACTATGTAATGAAGGTTTCACGTAAGTTTCAACTTTTCTGGCCCAATGGTTTTTGAGAAGAAGATTTTTAAAATACGACACCAAATTTTCACCAATTCTTAATTATCTCCCCTTGGAAGAGGGCGTGGCCCTTCATTTGAACAAACTTGAGCCCCCTTCACCCAAGGATGCTTTGTAGCAAGTTTGGTTGAAAATGACCTAATGGTTCTTGAGAAGTAAAAAATACAGAAATATTCTGGGATAATCCTAGAAAAGGTCAAGAAGTTTTCACATGGGAATTTAAATTAAAGGTTAAATTAAATGGAATTTAAATTAAATGGCCCTGCTGTTTCTTCATCAGAAGTTTTCTTTCCCTTTATATTCCTATGTAAAACTTTGACCACCCACTGTGGACATTGTCCTACCCTGGGGGTCATGCTTTGAGCAAATTTGAATCTTGACTACCTAAGAATCTAAATATGACTAATCTTGATTTTGCTGTTCATGAAAAACAGATTTTTTCCTGTTCCATTCTATGTAAAACTCTAATCTACACTACCTGAGGATGTTTCCAAATATAAATATGACTATACCATGACTTTCCTGTTCTTCGGATTTTTAAAGAATTTTCTTATATATACTCCTAAGTAAAACTTTGATCACCAATAGTGGCCCAACATTGCCCTTGGGGACATCATGAATTTAACAAATTTAAATCTACACTACCTGAAATGCTTCCATATAAATATGACTAACCAACTTGGCTTTGTTGTCCTTAAGAACATTTTTTTTAAAAAAATTTCCTATGTATTCCACAATGTGCACACTAAGTTTTATATATGGATTCATAGGTAATATTTTTAAAAATCTTCTCATAAACTAAATAGCATAGTTCAGGAACTGCTCTCAAAATTCCAGAACACTGGAACAATTGTTTTCACAGGGGCAGCTTTTAAAGTTAGAGTGAAAAACACTGGCAGGGGAAGGTAAAGGAATTGAACCAAAGCCTCCTGATCTCTAGACAGGTGATCCACCATGTAATCATGGTAAAGGAACCTCCCTCAGACAACCAGACCTCCATGCGAAAAATATGCCATATGACTTAAAGTTCATCTTTGTTGAATAATTATAAATTAACATGGCCATTCAAATATTTTAAGAGAGAATACACTGAAAATTCTCAGTATTTGAAAAAAATATTATTCAATTTTCTTACCATGCCTTTCTCTACTTTCTCATCTTGTATAAGTTTATCTTCCTTCTCCTTTTTCTCTATTTCTTTTAAAAGATTCTCTGTCTCATCTTCAGCTTCATGTTCATGGCAAAATTCTGATAGTTTTTTCTGAGCAACATATTTCTGGGGTGTAAATGGTTTTGAAGATTTTAAATGTTGCATGCTATCTAAATACAAGTCCTCTTTGACTGGTAATGAAGAATTCAAAATTATTTTTTCTTCTGACCTCTGTCCAGACACAATCATATTCTTTTGTGATCCCTCTACAAACTGCCTAAAATAATGATAATAAAAAAATTCTTATCAAAATATAATTCTTGTGACACAACCTTTCTTTGTTATAAATAACCAATTGAAAATAAGATACCTTTACCCAGCTTTTAAGCATAAAATATTCTATACTGCTCTAATCAAGAAGTAAAAATATTAACCTGCACAATATAAATTCAAGCTAGGATTTCTGGTAACCAGAGTAATAATTTGCAATGTCTTTATTAGTCTCCTTTATACCCTCTGCCTCAATAAACACACACAAAATATTACAGGTAAAGATGGTATTGTTAAGAGCAAATTAATATGATCAATTAATTTAATGTTACTATTCTAAATACCTGATATTGACATCAAACTTTAATGGAAACTTATAAACAAGAGGCTGCTCACCTGAGTCAATATAGCCCTGCTGTTCTTCATCAGCAGATTTTTTTCTATTATATATTCAAATGTAAAACTTTTATCCTTATTGTGACCCAACTCTACCCCAAGATGTCATGATTTTTATAGATGTAGTCTAACCATACCCCCAAGGGTCATGATTTGAACTTGTATCTGCACTCCCTCAAGATACTTATATATCAATATGACTACACATCGCTCTGCTGTTCTTGAGAAGAAGATTTTAAAGAAGTCTTTCCTATACATCCGTATGTTAAACTCTGATAGCACATTGTGGCCCCACCCTACCCCAGAGGATCATGTTTTGAACAAACTTGAACTACACAACCTATGTAAAGCTTTGATCCCTACCCCCAGGTGCCATGTTTTGAATGAAATTGAATCTAAACTTTCTGGGGATGCTTCTATATTCATATAACTAATCATGCATGGCTTTGCTGTTCTTGAAAAAAAGAATTATAAAGATCTCTGCCAACCAACCCGGGGGGGGGGGGGGGGGGGGGGGGGTCATGATTTTAACAAACTTGAACTACACAACCTGAGGATGCTTCCATATATATATGACTAATCATGGCTTTGCTGTTCTTGAGAAGACTTTTAGAACATTTTTTCCTATATATTCCTATGTAAATCTTTGATCCCCCATTGTGCCCCCCCCCCCCCCCCCCCGGGGTCATGATTTGTACAACTTGAATCTACACTACCTGAGGATGATTCATTATCAATATGACAATATGACTAATTGTGGCTTTGTTGTTTTTGAGAAAAAGATTTTTCAAGATTTTTCTATACATGTATATTCCTACGCAGAACTTTGATCCCCCATTGTGGCCCCAACCTACCCCAGGGGGTCATGTTTTGAACAAACTTGAATCTACACTACTTGAGGATGATTCTATATCAGTATGACCAATTGTGGCTTTGTTGTTCTTGAGGAGAAGATTTTTAAAGATTTTTTTCTATATATTTCTATGTAAAACTTTGATCCTCCATTGTGGCCCCACCCTACCCCCGGGGGTCATGATTGGTACAAACTTGAATCTACACTACTTGAGGATGATTCCACATCAATATGACTAATTGTGGCTTTGTTGTTCTTGAGAAGAAGATTTTTAAAGATTTTTTTCTATATATTCCTATGTAAAACTTTGATCCCCCATTGTGGTCCCACCCTACCACCCGGGGTCATGTTTGAACAAACTTGAATCTACACAATGTAATGAAGGTTTCACATAAGTTTCAACTTTTTCAGCCCAGTGGTTCTTGAGAAGAAGATTTTTAAAAGATACCACCAAATTTTCACTAATTCTTAATTATCTCCCCTTGCAAGAGGGAGTGGCCCTTCATTTGAACAAACTTGAATCCCCTTTACCCAAGGATGCTTTGAGGCAAGTTTGGTTGAAATTGGCCCAGTGGTTCTGGAGGAGAAGTCGAACATGTGAAAAGTTTACAGACAGACGGACAGCTAGACAGACGGACGACGGGCAAAATGTGATCAGAAAAGCTCACTTGAGCTTTCAGCTCAGGCAGGTGAGCTAATAATCTAGAACTCAGTTACAATGCATAATATATATCAAGTAGATCACTTTCGCTATGCAGACTAAACAAAACAATTATAAGTGCTTTAAGCAGTATTAATAAACCAATCTCATTCCTTTTCACTCTGGCCTCTCTTGATCTTTGAAGAGCATTTGATAAAATAACTTATTTTTGTTTCATTTTTATTTATCTATTATTGTGATCGGCTTCGGCCGATCAAAGTTGATTCCGTATGAGGCATCCGGCAGATTTAACAATCTGCACACCCATTATGCCCTGCACAACTTTGTTTACTTTGCACTGACAGCTTCATACAAACTTTCAGAACATGTTAAACACTAACGAGCATTATTTTGATGCATTTACCTTGAGAATGAAAACGTTTATTCAGTTACATGGTGAATAAAATTTACATTTTCCTTTACATGCATTAGAATTTCACTCCGAAGTACACTTCCCTTAAGGACAAAGTTTATTCTTTCACTAGTGTTTCAGAAAGCAACAAAATATTCATGTCAAATTGAATTAAGAAATTGGGATGCACATGTATCTTATTCTATTTATAGAATTGTGGACTTTCAGCATATTATCATTTATAAAGAATTTCACCGATTTCAGTGTAGAAGTATTTTGAATTTTACCGTTATGATAATTTTTAAAAAAAGTGCCAGACTCATCACTTAGCCATGACATTATACATGAAATCACATTGCCTCCATCTACATACAGTGATGATCTCTAATTATAGAATGTATCGATTGATTCTGCACAAGACGCATAATTTGTTTAGAGTTTAGCAGGAAACATTTATTCAGCAAATTACGTACAAGGTCATTCAAACTAATTTCTTAGCCCTTTCTTTGCTAGGGATATTCCTGAACATTATTTCTAATCCTGTTAAAAAGAAAAAAAATTGTTTACAAAATTGACTAGGTACATGCATGAATGCTAAAGTTTTATTTCCTTTCAACATTAATTAAGAACTCTGTAAAAATTTTGATAGTTAATTTATCTACAGAGTTACAAAAAAAGGTCCACATTACATATTTCATGTTTTTCCAAAAAATCTTTTTTTAAAGGCAACATAATGTAGTCAAAGTTTTTTTTACATAACAGCAATGCCATATTAAAAATTCTTTTTTCAATTTAAATTTGGTATGTTAAGAAATGTTAATATGACTACCCTTTACATGCATGCAGTCATACTCAGTTGAGAAATAATGTGAAATTAAATACTGTGGAATCATCATTATTTGTGATCTGGAAGATGTACTCAGGAGCAGACAAGGTGATTCCTATATATTCACATATACTGCAAGGTTTAAAAAAAAAAGGGCCCACGAGCTTTGTTAGTCAACCGTCTATCATGAGTTTCTCAGGCTATGTATACTAGATACTTACATAACAATTTTTTTCTTAACCCTTAAACCCCTATGACACCTTTTCATTTTGACAAATTTTTAACATCTAAGATATATACTTATTGGTGTTTTATAAGTAATTTGGATACAACAAAGCAAATTATATTGTCTAACAAGAGGCCAATGGACCACAATGCTCAACTGAGCCACATTGGCCCTGCTTTTCTGCATCAGCCCCTCCCCCCCCCCCCCCCAAACAAATACATATATTCTTCTGCATTTTTTAATTGTGTTTTATTTGCCACATCCTACATACAGGGGCTGTGATTTGAACAAAAATGAATCTACACTACCAGAGGATGCTTCCACACTAATATGATTCATCAAGGATTTTTCTCTTGATCCCACCTCTAAATTTTGAGGTCCATGTTTGCTCTGCTTCAAATTTGTATCATTTCATTGGACTTTCGAGATTGAATACTGTTCGTTATCTTCATATTTCACTTGAAGAGTTTTAAAGATATTTTCCTATATATTCCCTATTGTGACCACACCCTACCCCAAGGGACATAAGTTGAACAATTTACAATCTATATTACCTCAAGATGCTTCCATATAATTTTCAGCTTTTCTGGTCTAGTGGTTCTTGAGAAAAAGACTTTAAACAATTTTCCTATGTAATGCAATGTAAAACTTTGATCCCCTATTGTGGCCCCACCTTCCCCCTGAAGACATTGTTTGAACACGTAAGAATCTACACTACCTCAAAATGCTTCCACATAAGATTCAGCTTTTCTGGTCTGGTGGTTCTTGACAAGACAAATTTTAAAGATTTTTCCTTTGTATTTCAACATTAAAATTTGAGTCCCTATAATTGCGGCCCTATCTGACCCCCATGGGCCATGATTTGAACTATCTAGGCTGTTTCCACATAAGAATCAGCTTTTCTGGTCTAGTGGTTCTTGTGAAGAAGATTTTTAAAGATTTTTCCTACATATATATCAATGTAAAACTTTAATTCCCTATTATGACCCCATCCTACCCCTAGGCCCGGTGTACTGTCCGTGATTATCGTGCTCTAGACACTCATTATAAAACACGTCCGTTTGGTTTAATGCGTTAATTCTAAACTACATAACTCAGCAATTTCACAAACCGCGTTGCTGAGGCTGTCAACATCAATTACTGACTTAATACTAAACATATAGCATTCTGCTGATACAGCACATTCCTATACGTGGGAAACATTAAATCTGAATGAACTATTTAAGATATAGACATTACATCCAGGTCATGATTTGAACAATTTACAACCTACATATTTCAGGATGCTTCCACATAAGTTTCAGCTTTTCTGGTCCAGTGGTTCTTGAGAAGAAAATTTCTAAAGATTTTTCTTATACATGTATTTCAATGCAAAAATTTGATTCCCTTTTAAGGCCCTACTCAACCACCCAGGGCTATGATTTAAACAATTTAGAATCTACACTAACTCAGGATGCTTCCCCATTAGTGTCAGCAATCTTGGTCCATTTGTCTTGAGAAGAATATTTTTAAAGATATTTTCTATATTGGATGTTTCAAAATGGCATCAGTGGATGTGGCCGCTTGAACAAACGGTCTGTGCTCTAAAGCCTGCAAATTCAGGTCTGGAGTTCGTAATTAAGTATGTGATTGTTGTATTTCCACTGTTCGTTGG